TTAGAGTTGTACCCCCTAGATCAGGTCTCTAGTAATTGTGTGATAAAAGTGCACCAGATTGAAGAATTTTACTTTAAAATGTTCAAACATTTACTTCCCAGTGGGGGCTTCAAACTGGACCCCCCTAGAGGATGTGACGTCCATCCCCCATTCTATTGTGTATCCCCTGGTATACTCTATTTGATCTTTATCTTTCTATTGTACGATTCTCTGGCTGGGGGGGCGCCGAGCTAAATCTCGCCTAGGGCAGCAAATTGTCTAGAGCCGGCCTGTAGGCCAGGCTCACTTTATGCTGCGTTTCCATTACAGTTTAGTTTATGGGGTAGTTACTATAGTAACGCAGTGTAGGCGGGGCGATCGGCTGTTCGGCGGGCGGAGCCACTCTGCATAAAACAGCCGTGATGTCATCTTCAATGCCAACCACAAAACCAAAACATCAGCCGTTAGCACTCATATCAGTTCAGAAACTGGACAAAAGTTATACAAGTACAAACCACAGACTGCCTGTGTCATGGCGAATACAGTCGCTGGTTTATTTATGTCTGTATAGGCCGTTGTTGTGAGTGTGGAAGGAGCATATACACCGTTAGCTTACCTGATCGATCCGATCTCCACACACGCATTTTAAAAGGTTTTTCGCCTGCTGTCTGTCTGCAGACTTGTCAAGGCATTAATTCATGGCTTTTACTAACCGGTATCAGTATGTTGTTACTTCGGCATCATTTTGAAACGTGTATTACAATTAAATCACGGTCAAATATGTTCATTTTGTTGTAGATGTAGCCCCCTTGCCAGCGATTTCTCTCTGACCATTCAGCAGTCGAGAGTGTTTAGGTAATTAGTTTAGCATATTCAGGCCGGTTGTTGGCCCGGCAAGAACCTCGATTTTGGAGGGCCAGAAAAAGGTGAAAAGGTAGCCCTGAGCTGGAACTAGCCCTAGTGGAAAAGCAAAAAACCGTGCTACGTGCTGCAGTGGAAAAGTGCCGTTAGTGAACCAGTTTGTTCCTCCACAGCCAGGCACAAGTCCTTTAATCAGAAGAGCGCTGTGGTGTGTTTGTGGAGCTGAAATGGAGCGTGGCCGCCGCTGGAGGCAGCCAACCCCCCACTCGCTAACAGCACTTTTACCCTCCATCCATCCGTTGCATTTGTAGATTAACAATATAACATATGATGCCAGTGCTCTTTCTGCTATTTAAAAAATGCTGTCTGTATATTGCAGACATCCAAACTTGAAAATAAAAGTTTAATTGAAAATGTTTTAGCTTTTTTGGGAATTTTGGACCTTATGATTTAATGTTTTAATCTGTTTTTCCATTATCAAAGTGGAAGCACCATGAAATAGAAAACCTTCTCCACATGATGGGTTATTTCTTCATATAATTTAATGAAGTTTTTATTATTAACAATGCTCGAAAATCTAAACGTTTAGATTGTAAACTCAGTTTCTGAATTGTTCCAACGCACAGTAGACAAGCCTCTATACAGCAGAGCATGGGAAGCCGTCAGAGAACACAGGATTGTAAGATAATGAGCAGAGCCCGAGAATTGTCATTCAAAGTTTGAATGCACGTGAATTACAGCCGCATTCTCCTGGACCTCAGTTAGTAAATAAACACCCTGAAACTAGGGGATAATCATCACGGACACTTCGGTCTTATTGCAGAATCCAGAGGAATATAAATAGTTGGCAGCAATCAAAACAAAATAAATGAACTGTCAGAGCACAACAAGCACAGCAGAATTTTAAGTAATTATAAGTAAATTTGTTGCATTTCTGAGTAAGTGGTAGCAGATAGGCCTCTGACAGGGAGCCAGTGGTGTGTGACGGCTCTCAACATCCCACAGCCACCACATCTCAATGGGGAGGAACGCTAAAGACATCTGGGGGGCCATTACACACACTTAGCTGCATCAAGGAACACTCCAGCTAAACTTCCCTCCAAATGGCTATTTGTTTGTCTGTTAATTATCTTCCTTCCTCAGGGCCTTTTTAGGGGAATTTAAAATGTTGTTTATGGAAACAAGTAAAAAAATTAAATGCGTAATGGAAAATTGCATAACACTATCCCATGCTCATTTGAGATGACCCGCCACAATACCATATTTGTGGACCATGTGATTTATAGACAAAGAAGTGATCATTTACATCATGTTGGCCTCATTGATGTGGCTTGGCTGATTACAGAGAGACTTGTGCTGCTAAAACAATGTGAGCGCAGAGAGACCCTTTATAATCATAGGCTAAGAATAAGTCTCAGGGAGCGTTGGATGAAGCTGTTACCTGCACAGAGTTCATAGAGTTGGACTGTTTAACTAAAGAGTGTAAACGTGGCAGTAATCCCCCCACACACTTTTTAGGACAATGTGACAATAACCAAATGACGAATAAGGAATGATTTTCTAAAAGCAAAGCCCAGAAACCCCAGAAACAAACAAACCATTACGCTGTGCCACAGAGGAGCTGGGTTAGCGCTTCTAATTCAGGTGAACTGCAGGCACATTTCCCCTGGCTCGGCTGGCACACTTACAGCTGCAATAACACAGAGAGCCGGCTGCACTTTGTCCACACACAGTGTCCACACAGCCAGTCTCACAACACCTCACATTGCACACCTATGCATTGTTACATTATTAAGATGTTTACATTATGTAAATAATGTGTTTCACTGCTACGTGGGACTATCCTAAACACAAAGACAGAGTGGGGTAAATTCTTCCATGTTTTCTTTTACCATATCGGGTTTCAAAGCGTGGGCACAAAATGCAAAGGAAGCTCAAATGATTACAATTAAAGTTTGATTTAACACTGTTTTTCCTCCCTGTGGCACAAATATTTGCACTTTAGTCCTTTTATGGTGATTTAAATGACATGTCGGCAACACTTGGCTTTAAGTGATGTGTTACAGGGACTAAACTTCAGAGAGTTTGGCCTCACCGCCGTCCTGAGTCAGATTATGTTAAACAGATTTAACAGTTTTAATGTTTACAGTTAGCATTTGAAGCTTTGAGCACTCACAAAATCCATTGGTTACCTTGATCTAACATGCCAGAGGCTGTTCACCTTGGAGACCTGCTGCGGATATGGGTACTGAATGGTAGGCTACTCAAAGAGGAATCTGCAGAGAGGCTAAAAAACTTCCAGAAGTATAATCAGGACATATTCACTTGAAATCCCCATCATCAGGGCCACACACTCTCATGTATTTTCACCATGGCACAGTCTGAGGCTGAGGAAAGCTTGCTCATCAGCGGGCTCTAACCGGCGTGTGTTGTTAGCGAAGGCCGAGCAATGACACGGTCCTGAGCGCCTGATTGCAGCCATCTTGAACAGATCTGGCTGGCTCTGGCTCACCACAGGTCCCCTTTCAGTGGGCTGTCATTACTGCAGAGGTGAGCTCTCACACGCCAACCCACACACATTGAAACACACACATGCTAGGGGGCCGCGGAATGAATGAGCACACTGAGACCTGGGCCTGATCAAGCGAGCAGCGGCCGGGAGTTGTTGTAAGAAAATCCTCTGCTGGGACTATCAGAGCACATTAGGCTGAGCAGCCCGCTGCCGCAGAGCACACTGAGGCAGTATTTCAGCTGAGCAGGGCTACAGTTATAATATTACTACGCTAGCCAAAGGGCCTTTGTTTACCTTATTCATAAATATTCTATGTAGCAAGGGTGAATTACTTGTCCAGACGTTAATAATCGAATAGGAATGTGAGGCAGAAGCAAACACGAGTCAGCCCTTTCTCCTGCTGACAGCGTGGATCATCAACAGCGCAGAGCTTAACGCCCCCCTCCAGTGACAGGTGTGCTGCTCACCTCCATGCAATCACACGCTGTTGGTTAACAGTTCGTTCGCTTCTTGGAGAACAAGGGACCTGAAACATTTGCTCAGGGAAGAGAAATTGCAGCAAAACGAAACAACCTAATTTGGCAATAGGCTTCAGCATGCATGCTAGAGCGAGTGTAATTGCTGGGGAAGGGGGTCGCACTTTTTGTTTACTATCTCTGGGCATTCCTTCCCCTAATAACCACTCCAAGTGAAATCAAACCGGCTCTGTATTTGCTCCAAGAGGTGATTAGCCGGGGAAGTTAGGATTTAAAATGGACCTAATTGGGCTGCTCTATTTATGTTAGCTTGAGATTTATCATACCATTTGTGATTCATTTTAAATGGATTAGCCCTACGCATTCTATTTCTGAGTAACTGTGCTTGTAATTGGAACATGCAAAGCAACAGATTGGTTTAGTTGAATAGTTTCATAATTTAAATGGTTTTCCATTTGCACAACAACAAGAGTGCAATGTCCCTCTTTTGTTGTCATAAGAGACATGAAGACATGTCCACTGCCTGCTGGCAATTGTGCTGAAAACACCCACTTTAACATATCCACACACACAGACACACACACACACACACACACACACACACACACACACACAGGGGTGGACTGGGGGGAAAAAGTGGGCCGGGGATTAATTGACCGACAGGCCCACTTAATGCGCGGCATGTATCGGCCGGCCGGGGACGAAAGTATGTTACTTAACAAAAAACCCTATGCATTTTATGTTATTTTGGACAATTATTCATATAGTAATCACATTACCTGAGCCCTTGAGTTGCCTATAGCAAAATAGTTACAGCATATATTTAGTGATTTTAATGTTAACAGATCATTGATGCAATAACATTTTGACCCAATTTGCCTGACTTGATGCATGGAATAAAACATGGGCGTAGGAAGCATCCTCAATGTGGGTGAGACAATTTAACAGGGGGTTTGGGCAGGTGGGTGGACCTCACCTCCTCTAGGGGGGTCCAGGGGCATGCTCCCCCGGGAAGATTTTTTTTTGTACAAATGTTTGGCATAATTAAGTTTTTTTTTTTTAAATCTTGAAGTTAAAAGCATCAATCTGGAGCACTGAGAGCAAAATTACGGAGAAATCGTTTTTCCGCCAAGAAAACGATCCTTTATATGCCGGATTAGAAACATTTTGTCATTAACAGATTTTCACGGGAATGATTGACTGATTGGCTCTGAAGTCATCATCACATATCTTGGTAAGGGTGTGTTTTTCTCACAGCCATACACAGAGCAATATGCGTTCACTTGCAGTCCGTTACTGTAGAAAGGTGTTTGTCACCCATCTTTGCAAGCCTGTGGATATGCTCTGAAGTCTAACTGTTGTTAGTGCTGGTGGTCTCATTGGGAAACTAATATTCTCTTTATATCGAAGACATTCACTAGTTAAATTGTTCCTGTTACTACTATGTTATTTAGGATACAATAAACATTTTTAACTGTAATCCGTCACAGTTACAGAAAAAAAGACGTAATCAGATTACAGCTACATTTCTAAAAATGGGGATTACTACCAGGATTACAATGCTACAGTGCAGTTTAACATTGAGATCGATATATTACGAGGCTCATGTGCACACAGTACAACACTTCACGAGACTAACAACACCAGCAAACTCTAGCTAATCTTCCAGTCATCACGGACATTTGGCCAGTTATTGAGCACATGGGAGAAACAGCATTAAGTGCAAGCTTTGCCTGCCAGCTGTGAAATGTAGCATTTAGGGGTAAATCCATCTACTAACCTGTCTACTACTACTGATGTTACTCGCTACTGAAAAAAATCAAGTTTGAGTGTATGTTTGGATAGCATACCTAACAAAGTATATTTACGTGCATAATGACCGCTATTAATCTGACAAGTGATTATCATAATGAAGGAAGGAATACCTGGAAACCAATTGAACATTGAACAGACATAAACATTATATTAGGCTAAACAAGTTTAACAGCACAAATTAATATTAGTTAGTAAAGTGGTGGACGGAACATAACTTGCTTAAATACTTCTTCATCAAACTCAGTATTGGAGTCCAATACTTGGAATAGTTTGCATATTGATATTGACATATTCCAAAAGTAGCGGAAAGTAATCAAGATTCATACTTTTAATGTTGGGTTGATTAAAATAAATTACTGATTACTTTTTTTAACAGGTAATTAGTCACAGATTTTACATTTTTATGACATGCTAACGCTTCATTACCAATATGCAAATTGTTTGGTATTTAAACATACTAAGGCCTACTTTTAGCACAATATACTGCAAGTCAAATGTAAGCTACAGGCTTTTTGGTTTATGGATGACAGCAGATTTCACATATTTTAACACACACACAAGTGTTTGCTGGGATAACAAAGCTCACTTAAATCTCAAATATGTCAGGCAAAATCCTGTGTAAGTATGTGTAAAACGATGCACTCGAATTATGACTCGTCACACATGAATAAATATTTCTTATTTAAGTGGCATACACCACCAAGTGCACAACCCACATTTGATTAAACACAATAATCTATTGTTAATAAATTGTAAAAGCTACATAGTGTATCAGCAAAGTGTATATGATGTTATACACTATGTGCCTGGAAGAAAAACATTTGTTGAGTATCAACAAATATATCTTTATAGCTTCCTGTTATCCCACTGCAGCCGTACAAGGAGACCCCCCCTCTGGAGCTGTTTGCTGGGCGTGATGAATTGGCTGAACGCTTGAACCCAAAGGCTGGCAAATGATCAGTTAATTAGTGGTTGATAGATGACAGAACTCATTTTTTTATTTGTGCTCCAAAATACAGAAAAACAAATAATAGACATTTTGTTTTAAGGTACAAATCTGTTTCCTCCCCTGCCATTTGCTTTACTTAGGTAGATTGTGCCAAATAAAAAATAGCAAAATGACACTTCATTCACCTTACCATATTTTCCCCTGCTACATAAATGTTTTGTGAAACATGTCCTGGACTGATTTTGAGTCATTCATGTTTCAGCAGTGAGGGAGTTAGAGGAAACAGCAGCATGTATGTACATTCATTACGGCAGACTTGGCATGTGGAGAGAAATAATGTGTTTCAGCTCAGTGAGTGACAGAACAAAGCACATACAGTATTGGAGCTGGTCTTGGAGGGCTGTGGCTATTTGCTGAAACATTTGAGCTGGAGTTTTATGTGACAAAATCATCACAGGATTTGAATTCATGCGGCTTGTGTTTAAAGATTAAGAAAACAGTTAGTGGGAAATTAAAGCAATCCAACTAAATATGATTAATTTCACCGTTGTGCATTTTCTCCTTGAGACATATCTTTTGAAAAGTCTTATCGAGGACATATCATTCATCACTTTAGAATTAGTACCAGCGACAAAAACAGCAAAACAGGCTGTCCAGTGAGCAGAGACCTTGCAGACCTGAGAGTTTATCATTATGGTCGTTCCAAGTCCCTGAGCGATATCACTCATGTTTGCTGGCCCACAGATCTGCAGCTTCATGTGGAGGCTTATCGCTGTCGGGCAACCTAGAACCACACAAAGCCTCTTCCTGCAACGGAACAATCCACACTCAAGCTTCCAAATGGTTGTATCAAAAGCTGTTTGTGTTCAAGTTTCTGGGTGCTCAGAAGCAGCATGATTCATTCATCGCTTATGTCAGGAGAATAATTGTCATTATTTCATGGTTAGTTTGACATACGGTTCATATTCACAAGGCAGGAGTTGAAATGAGCAAGCTAAGGAATAGTGAAAATATGGTAGGAGGTCGGCGTGTGTGTGTGTGTGTGTGTGTGCGTGTTTTAGGGGAGGGGTCCTGACCATGCCTCTCAGCCGTTTCCTTCAAACAGCAATCAGGCAGAATCAAAGCAGCTGCTCTGTCCTTGAATTTTCCAATTGCACTAATCAAGTCAGTTTAACGGCTTCACAAGCTGCTGCACTAAACTGCGTAACACACACACTTACACAGACTAGCTGCTGTCGGCTCAGGCCACCATTCTACAGTCCAGTCAGAGATAATAACACTTATTATTTGGGCCTGTTGGAACACGTGTTGAGGAGAATGGAAGTGTTGAAATGTGGACTGTTAAAGATTCACACAAATCATCAGTGGAGCATAAAAATGCGATACTGTGGTGGGTAAGGGAAATGATTCTCCTTGACCTGTTACTCTGCAGCAACAATTGTCTCTATTGTATACGACCATTCCAGCCTAAACAACATAGGACTAATCCCCCAATTTCCATTCACTCCGATGACAACAATTCAGGTTCATCTTGTGTGTTGAGAGCTGGGAGAGAAAACAAAGCTAATTGTTCTGACTGGCCTAGAGTTTCAGTAAGCCTGCAAATTTCATTTTGCTGCTCGTTGTGATCACCATTACATAAATCCTAACATTAACCAACACAAAGCGGAGGAAGTAAAAGCACACAGAAAGTGTTTCAATGTGGTCTGGCTGCGCAGCCTTGGCCCTGGGAGAGACTTCCTCTGTGAAGTATTTAATGTTGGAAGCTTTCCCTCTCAAAACACAGAGCACCTGGGACAACAGCGTGCTCCAGAGCCGGTGTTAATCAGCAGCAATGCAGACTGGCAATCAGTGGTACCCACAAGAATACAATTAAAACGGTATGCCGGCTCTCTATACAACCATGCCGCCTTACTTATGAAAACAAAAATTACAGCTAAAAACGGCTCTAAACATTTGGTAGAAGCTGTGTGGTACATCCCAAGAAAAACGTCTTGATTGCTAAAAGTGTTTCAAAGACTTTGGTTGGAAACCGGATAAAAGAGGGGGAAATCAGCAGCTTTAAAAGCATTCTTTGCTCCACTGCAAACAATTATTTTCTTCTGTTTCATTCAGAGCAAACACGTCCTCTGGATTTTGATAAGTGTCACTTGACATTACTGGAGAGGATTTCAGAGGTATGCTTGATTACTTTCACTTGCACTTCCACTGAAGATGGGCAGCAAGCTAGGGGTAAGCGGGGGGAAAAGATGAAGTGATCAACAACTCACCTGTGTGTTCTGTTAATACCAGGTGCTATTTTGTACAAATGTTTGGCATAATTAAGTTTTGACTTTAAGTTGCTCATGATAACTTTTGAACCCGTCAACTGTAGCTGGCTTGAAGTGTTTATTTTTGTTTTAAATACACAATCTTAACCGATCGAACCACAAGAACGTTCCTCTCTTTTCTTCCTGGTCCAACTGTTCAAAGGCCCGGCATAGCACTTCATTAGCAAGCCACGCCATGACTGTTTATCTTAGCACAGATAAAGCAGCCTTCAACATCAAAGATCAATCATTACATTGACAGAAGTATTTGAACTTCTCAATGTACCTATAATGATTTAATTTAATGTTACGGGCTACTTTATTTTTGTAATGTCTGGATTGGCTTAACGATAGTTCCTTTAAAATGGTGGGCTGAAAGAATCTACAATGCTCTCAAGAGCTAAGGGGAACTGCGTTAAGCTGCTGAGCCATTTCCTTACACATATTAGTGCAGCTTTAAGAGGTACAACTCAGGGGAGTTACAGTTGTCATGCATCTCATCACCTTAGTAGGATCCTGACATTAAATATTTCCATGACTTGAAACCTAATTAATTTAATGTTATATTATGATGAGATATATAACCTCAGAACAGGCCAAACTGCAGGCACTTCTTTCTCAACATTGCAATATGCAAAAGGCTGAGGACTAATGGCCTGCTTAAAAGTGCACACTGGCATTGTTTTAAAGTGGTCAGTTTTGTCATTAAGTGAATGCTTGTCCACAGTTGGGTCTAAACACAGAGCCTTTTATGGAGTTAGCCTAATTAGTGTGACCATTAGCCTTAATGGGGAGTAATGGCCAGTTAGATGTTATTTGGTAAAACAACACGCTAGAGGCTGGAGGTGTTTTATTACAGCTCTATATTGGGCTCATTTCTGGAAGGTAAAGAATGTTTCCAGATTTCAGGCGAAACTGGCCGTGCACTAATTCAGTTTCCACAGCTAGCAGAGCAGGGACCACCCACCAAGAAGGATACTTGCTGTATGATTATAATTTCACTCAGCGTTATCCTCACTGGCCTACTAAACTTGACTGTAAACTCTTCTGGTCAGTTTCTGTCACGCTAAAATGTGTGGAGCTGTTAATATTTTTAGAACAACTTTACATATTATTCTTTTTTTAAAACATTGCAGATAACCTGGTGCATTTATTCACAGCAATGCATGAGCAGATTCAACTAAACACTATTTGACCAAAGGGCTCCTTCAGGGAATCACACCACTCATCTTTGCAGGATTTATTGTAACAAGACAAAACAAACAGAGTATATTTCACTAAGACTTCAATCCTAGTGATGAAGTGTTTCATTTAGCAGGGGTTTGTAAAATGAAGCCTGTGAACACAATAACCCTTGGCACTGATGTGATGGGGACCAACATGAAATGTTTTTAATATTTGCTGTTAAAATCACAAATGGGCAACCTGGGCAACGAAAAACACACTGTAACACAACTTGACTGAAGTGTAAGTTCCTCTAAGAATGATTTCCAGATCCTGCAGTAATCACCATTTCCAGGGGAATTCCTTCACACCAGAGCTTCTGTAAACATAGCCAATAACGAGCTAATTGCTTTACAGGGTGAATGATAACCAGCTATTTGGCTGCGGTGAAGTCTTAAGGGTGAAGTGTTCATACTGTGTCACTGCATACTGGGTCCAGGAGATTTATAAACATCTACTAGTAGTTTAATTCTAGTGTCAGTGTTTGGCCAATTTCTTTACACAGGCAATTTTTCTTTAGCTGAATACCGTCCGTATCTCTGAACCATGGTTATGGCTAGAAAGGATCCGTCTAGTGTAAATATGACGTCACGTTCTCGTTGTAACTCTCGTTGTAATTGGAGCGGCTCGGAAGCGGTTGGAAAGGGTCGGGGTGCAGGACGCGGGAAGATCGGCCAATCGCGGGTCTGAGAAGAGGAAGGATGGATGACAGACAAGTTCGTCAGTTTAAATGTCTAGAACATTTAAACAATAGTTTGAGCATATATGAGGAGGAAACAAAGACCACATTTGTATCAACAAAGAAGGACAAATGTTTTGGCTAAAGAGGTGAGTTTATAATTGATGTCAGCTTTTAAACTTTAAAGGTTGACTAAAAGAAGGCAAATAAATAATCATGTTGTCCTTCTCAGATTTGAATTTGAATTTGAGCTGAATGTTATGTTCTCCGATGGGCACCGGAAGTACAACACAAACCTTCCACAGTACCTCCAAAACAGGCCACGTGCCATTGCACAACACATCCTGGACAGACACTGTCGGTCACTCGACTACGAGAGAAAGGAGTGTTCTGTGTGAAAAGCCTGACAACATCAGCCACACACCTGGTGTCTTTTGGCCGCGGTTCCATCAGTCCATCATGTACCTGCCAAGACTGGCAAAGAAATGTACTGCCCTGCACTCACTTTTGTGTGGTGTTCAACACAATTGAAGGTTGTGGTTGGGAGAGTCTCAGTGACACCTAGAGGGAAAACCCTCTGTCTTCTCTGGATGTTATTTGCTTAACTACATCCCAAACAGATTCAATCACTCCCACCGAGGATGCCCTTGTCTGCATGGAGGACACCCCGACACCCCTGTCTGCACGGAGGACACCCCCAACACCCCTGTCTGCACGGAGGACACCCCCAACACCCCTGTCTGCACGGAGGACACCTTGAACTCGATTCATGACTTCATTTCATTGTTAAAACCTTCATATAAATCTAATTACAGACTGGATTCAAATTAGGATGTCACACAGAACTGCAAATGCAAACTACCGAGACAGATGACTAATGTTCAGTCAATAAACTACAAGATGCTAGTGGTGAAACAATGTTAGTGCTGTATCAAATACTGTAAGTGAATCGAGAGCGACTGTGCTAGTTTCAGTAGTAATTGTACAATGTCAGTTGCGTCTAACAATAGTAGTGAAGAGACTAATGAAAGAGGAAAGAATGGTTGCTGGGGACAAGTGGAGATTAGATTAGACAGGATGATTATTGCACAGGTGTGCCTTAGGCTGGCCACAATAAAAGGTCACTCTGAAACGTGCAGTTTTGCTTTATTGGGGGGGTCCAAAACCCTAGGGTTAAACCCTAACCCTAACATGTCACCCATTGAGCATGTTTGGGATGCTCTGGATCGGCGTATACGACAGCGTGTTCCAGTTCCTGCCAATACCCATCAACTTCGCACAGCCATTGAAGAGGAGTGGACCAACACTCCACAGGCCACAATCAACAACCTGATCAACTCTATGCGAAGGAGATGTGTTGCACTGCGAGGCAAATGGTGGTCACACCAGATACTGACTGGTTTTCGGACCCCCCCA